CCCCCCCCCCCCCTCTCTCTTTCTCTTTTTCTCGCTCTGTTTTGCGTGCATATTTCTCGAAATAGTATTAAAACGTTCAAGAAAACTCAACACACAACAGAATTATCGTGTCTACATTTAAACATTCAGAGACACGTCATGCTAATTGCAGTATTTGAAAAGCGAAATAAGGTAACGAGATAACAATGTTTCAACGACTTATTTGTGTGAAGTCGAGAGCGCGAATGCTCATGAAAGAGCACGTCGTATAAGTGTGTACTTTGTTAACTTCCACATAGTCTGGATATACATAGTCTGGAAAATTTATATATGTTCAAGCGCCCGTCACGCAGATAGAGTCTGTTAAACGGAATAGGCAAATTATCTACTATTTTATGAATCACCAATTATTCAGTTGTTAAGGAAAGAAAATTGGTTAATCGATACACGACGAGCTCAGCAGTTTGAAAAACACAATCCTTGGGCTTGTTGACTACTTCTTGACTCAGCAACCGTGGCAATCGAAGAATAGCGAAAGATAGAGTAACAACTCAACTGGACTTTTATAAGTGTCATGACGTAGACAATCGAATGATGAAAACTTCACAATTCTTTTAATTATTATTTAATTGTTTATGAAGCGAATATGTCCTTTTGTGTTGAATTAGTCATTAAATTTGCATCACACTAAGTTCTATTATCTATTATTTATTCTCTATTCTCTCTTCTATTTTCTATTCAACGCAGCGACAAATTCGCTAAAGATTTCACTTTACATTATAGTGTTTCTTGAGTACACTTGGATAATTTTTTTCGTATTTTTTTTCGCATTTTTATTTCGTCACGGAGAAAATATTATGTACGGAGAAAATATTGTAGTAAAAATTGCAGCAGAATTTTCGTAACTTCAGACTGCACGGAATTATGATCGAAATTACAATATATTTTGATAAAAACGTTATATACGTATGACTTTTTTTACCATAAAATAATTATAGTTACTGAATATTCTTTATAAATATATCATATATAAAAGAGATCATCAAATTTAATATTTTGATAGAAATTTATACAAAAATTTTACAGTACAGTTTTATAAAAATATTGTAAAAAATATAATTTTAACATAACTTTTATTACAATATTTTCTCCGCGTATACGATAAAAATACGATAAGTGCTATATGCGTTAATCATAAAGAATGCAAACCTTTACAGGTCAGTATATAAAGTGTATTCATCCTCATAATAAAAAAAGTGAAAAAGAAATATCTGTGAAGTGTGTTTATATCGATTGTCGAGTTTCATTGTTTTACATTTTCCGAGTATCTAATTGGTTCTTCGCGAAGTCGGCATAAACGAGCGAAAACTGCTTGCTTCGCGTTGAGCGCAGTTGCCAACGTCGGATGACATGTTATATTCAGAAGTTAATGTAAATATGTGCTTATATCGTTAGAATTAATAGTAATGTAAATAGTGTTGCTGTAACAAATACATTAAGCCAGTAATTTTACCAATTAAAATGGAAGAGAAAACGGGGTAGGATAAAGAAGAAACAGAGAAAGAGAAAAGAACTAAGCAGAAATAACAAAGAGTAGAAACGGCACAAGAATATAATAGCATGGAGACAGAGAATAAGGAAACAGAGATAGAAAATAACACACATAAAGTAAGAAATAGAGAGAAAATGTGAGATAGTTGTTGAATGATGTTAGAAGGTAATTGACTATGTGATTATATGTTTAGGATATCGATAATACCATTAACAATATCATCATGATGTAAGAGATAGGAAGAAGATGGAGAGAAAATGGTAGAAGATATCTGACTTATTAACAAATAAAGAGGTATTAAAATTAAAATTATTATATAAAGATATATTACCTTTTAATGATGACTTTATGATAGGTCATTCAAATAAATTAAAAGAGAGAAACTTTGAAAAAAAAAGTGACAGAGATAAAGAAAATGTAAAGTTGAGAATAAGATAGAAGGGCGCGCGCAGCATACTAGTAATGGATAAAATTGTGTCAAATATTCTCACACACTGTCTATTTGAGATTGCAAGCAGCGAGCGGCACGTTACACGCGCGATCTTGGTACGACAATATTTATCACCGCTAGGAGATCAGGAAACAATTCCAAAAAAACATGTGTCTTCAGTCCGCTCTGCAGAGCTCGTCTCACCACATCGCGCAGATCGATAGTCCAATTTTCTTTCATTAACATCGTAATAATTACCGCGGCAGTTGGCTAAATAGTCAAGGACTTTTCGGTTAGAGGATTCCCCAACGGTGGAGAAGTCTCTCCTTTATTTCTGGTGGTGGGTTTTTCCGCTCGCTTTAACGCGGTCCATCGGCAACGCTCGGACACCTGTATCCGTGCAGACACCCTATAAATAGCATATCTCCCGCGCACACGGTAACATCGCAAAGCGAATCGACGTAAGAGCGCGATTTCGTGAGCATTGTGCCCGCGGCCTGTTGCGTAAATTCGCGCAATAACAGACCACTTCTGAGACAATTACACTCCCTAAGAGAGACAGGTGCCCTCCCCGTGGCATGCTGGCGGGTGGGATATAAATTCAATGAAAAGAGCTTACGAAGAGCGCGCCAGTAAACGACGCCAGTAAACAATAGCGACAGAAGATAAGAAGCCACCGTGTTCTTCCGGACTCCCACCCCGCATCGCCTGCACCCCCACCTCCGGTACCGTAACTCCCTCTTCGGCGTCTCTTTCTCACGACCTCTCTCTCTCTCTCTCTCTCTCCATCCTACCGGGTCGTTAGCATAATAACGTCAACTGCTTCACGATGTTCGTAGTCAATACGTGTCGTAGCTTCGATCGCGTCGCATTGATCGCATTGAGTCACATTAGTGTCGTCCCGCGAAATTACATAACGAGAGAGTGAGAGAGAGACTCGCACGCGTGCACACCGTTCCATATACACCGTACGACACACGCGCAGCCGGCGATATAAGCTCCTTGCGTTACCGTGGCGAGCGTTACCGATCGTTCATTATTACACCTCTCTCGTGCCGCTGCCTCGAAGTCAAGCTCGACTGCAGCGAAGCTCCCTCCGAGCGAGCTTCTCGAACGGCGATCGGAGGAAAGTGTAGACGGAAGCGGAAGAGAGAGAAAAAGAAAGAGGGGTGAACTCCTCGTGCTCGCAAACTCCTGCTATTTTCGACGGAAATAATCACTCGCGACGACGACGACAACGACGACGACTTTTGACCGCGGCGTTAATCGAGAGAGGAAGAGAGATAGAGACAGTTAGAGAAGAAACCTCGAGCACATCGAGTACGCGCTGCGATATGAATCACCCTCGTGATTAAGCTCACCACTCTCTCGCGATTTCTGTACGCAGGCACCGCCGCAGGTAGCAGCTTCGCACTCTCCGCGGAAAGTGCGCACGGAGAGGTGAAGGGAGTGAGCGAGAGAACGAGAGAGAAAGGAACAATCGTGAATTGTCATATTCGAGATGACGAACCATACCACGACGATGGTGGTGGACTACCTGGTGTTCGTCGGCTTCATCGCGATCTCCTTTGTGATACCACTGTGGGGGAACTTCCGGGCCAAGAAAAAGGAGACCAAGGCGAACTACGTGTTCGCCACCGGCACCGTATCGATGGGCGCGATGATGCTGTCGATCGCACGGGGCACGCTCGGCGTCAGGTCCTTCCTCGGCTACCCCTCGGAACTGTATTATCGCGGCAGCGCCATGTGGGAGACACTGTACGGTATGCTGCTGGCGTATCCCATCGTCTGCTTCATCTTCGTGCCCGTTTACTACAATCTCGGCGTCACGTCGGTCTACCAATATCTCGACATGAGGTAATTTCGCGGGCTTTCTCTCTCGCGCGCCCGTTCAAGCGCGCTCGCCTGCCTCTATCTATGCACACGCGTAAGGTAAACCACACGCAATCATATTGGCAACCTCTCAGCAGTCACTCTGGAAAAATCTGGTTTCTCTTACGATCTGCGACATCTATTCACAGCTTTAGCTGAGAAGATCTCTTTAGGAATCATAGACTGCAGGCAAGAAACTTAAGTAAAATAAAAAATCAGCTTTTCTTTTTGAGTGTTAATAACTAAATTTATCCCGTGATCCTGATAGATCACAAGTAGGTATCTGGCTTGTACATGCGGAGAATTTTATAGCAAAAATTGCTATGGAATTTTAATAACTTGACATTCTGCAGTAATTCATTATTCTTTTATTTCACATATGTGCATTATTAGAAACATAATAAAAAATTGAAAATAATTTATATGAGAACAAAAACTATAATATTCTCTCTATGTATAAAGTAATATTATATTATCGAGTCCTAATTATTAATAAAGTTTTAATTACGAATTTTATAGGAAAAATTACTATAGAATTTTATAACTGAGGAGTGGCTCGACATTCTGCAATGATTTATTGTCTTTTTCCAAATATGTTATTTATATTTTAGAAACTCAAATATTATTAAAAAATATATTTAATATATTATATATAAATATATATATAAAATATTTTTAAAATATTATTAAAAAATCTGCTGTTTTTTTCTGGCAAAATTTACAAAGTTTCTAACAAGATAGACCTTACTAATAGACTATTTCTGCCCTACTAAAAACATAGTAAATCTGACGAAAATTTATACATATAAAAAAAGGAATATTGTTTCCGCATATAAGGTGTGATGTTATAAGATTCTAATTAGGAAAAAGAGTTGTCGAAATCATATTTCATCAGTCGTACCTGATATTTTACAATGTCTGTAGTAAGCTTAAAATAAAATGTGACCTGAATATTTTATGTTTGTATTTCTCATTGCTCATTTATTTTGAATTTTTACCGTTATTTGTCGTTCATATTCAGTAATAATAAAGAAATTAACGAGATACAATTTTGGCAACTGTCCCCCACTAAAATAGTTCTAATCATTAATAACTCTTATTATTAACAAGGTCCCTTATGCAAACCAGATACCTGACTGGGATCAACCTGATCAAGAATATGGGGTGAATTTCTAGTCGGTAAAGGAGGTGCCAATAATTATGTGTGGTTTACTTTATACATGTATATATACACAAGCGTCGCGACAATTAATATTTAATAGTGCACTTTGGACCAGCGAATAACGTCCGCCAGCGTGAATGGCGGAGGACGACATGTCGTACGTAATGATCGTGTCCGATTAGCGCGCGGCTAATTCGCCGCGCTCGCGCGCGCGCCGGATCTCTCCCGTTTCAGAGCTACTCCTAATTATGCAAATTCTCCAGGTTCAAGTCGAAGCTGGTGAGATGTCTGGCGAGCTTCTCCTACGTCATACGGAGCCTCCTGAACTTGGCGGTCACAGTATTCACCCCGTGCGTCGCGCTAAAGGCGGTCATAGGGCTGCCGTACTGGGCCAGCATCGTGGGGATCACGACCATTTCCGTGGCTTTCACAATTATGGTAAGGCACATGTATCAAACGCCACTTTACACCTGACACGTGCACGCCCGTGCATATTCCGCGAAAAGATCGCCCTCTCCAGACAGTTCGTTCAAAACGAGCACGGCGAGATTTTACGCGGGAAGAAGAGCAGATTGTGAGCTAATGCGCCGCGCAAGATTCAATGGGATTCGATGCATTCGCGGGGAAAATGTTTCCCTGCATGTATTCGCGACAATTGGCAGTCATGAGCTGCACTTTCCTTCCCGTCCCCTCCCTCCGTCCTTTCCTCTCATCGTGATATCGATCGAAGGTCTCGTCGAAATTATACCCGGTTTTTGCAATGGCCGTGTAAAAAAAGAGAAAACACGAAAAAAAACACGCTACTTCGCGAGAGCGATATTTACCGAGAGCTCGTTATTTTCGGGGATGCGGGCAAAAACCACGGAGAAACTATGTTCATAATTCTGATAAATACGCCGGCTCTACCGACAAAATCGCACGCTTCAAAACGATGATTATTATTTACATCATCCACCCGTGGGAAATTGGAACAATTAAGCACGCATGCAAATTGGATGCACCGCGTGAATAACGAGAACGACGATAAATACTTTTATGTTGTAAAAACAGTGACACACAAGAAGCAGGAGCGCAGCTCTTAATATTAACTCTCGGAATAATAGCTCATTATTGTATAACATGGCGCGTGGAGTATAACAACGTGTCCTCTCCTCTCCTCTCTCTCTTTCTCCTTCCGCGGTGAGTGGATGCTATTTGACCGTCCAGCAACGTTAAAATTGATCGAATGAATTATTTCGCAAAGCTCGGGCATTCCCGCTAAATAACTTTCACGGCGAATGCGTGGACAACTCCGTCATACATTCAATCCTGTTTTTGCTTTCCAGGGAGGTCTAAAGGCCGCCATTCTATCGGACGTCATACAAGGACTAGCGATGATCGGAGTGTCCGTGGTGATCATCGTGCAGGGAACGGTCAACGTAGACGGACCCGCGAACGTCCTGAACGTCACTTACGAGCGCGGACGCTTGAATTTCTTCGAGTACGAGCACATTTTCGGCAATTTCCCCGGCAATTTCGCGCTGCTCGGATTCCGCTCAGACAACAACGCCGCCGCGACCTACGACGCTAACGTCGGAATTTCCCGCCGCGTGTTTTTTCGCGCCAGCTCGTTGAGCTTTAGCATTCATTAATCACGACGAGAAACACACAACGCGAGCCCACAGTCCGTGCACATAACGTTATAAAACGCAATTTTATATCAAAATTCTCTGGCGGGCACGCCTCGCAAAATTTGAAAATTATTAAATTTCGCGTCCAAAATTATTTCGCGTGCTGCGCATTTCCCGTGTCTTCAACATTTCGCCGCGACAACGGGATGTAATCGGCCTTTCGCCGGTAATCCGAGCGCTTGCGAATCTCGCGACTCAGCTGCTGCTTTCTCTTTCTCTTTCGCACGCGACTGTGTCCGATAATGCTCCTTTTTTTTTCAGCTTCAATTTGGACCCTACAATTCGAGTGACAACATTATCGGCGACACTGGGTCAGCTCTTCATGAGCCTGTCCATTTTCGGGTGTCAACAAAACTTCGTCCAAAGATACTGTAGCATGTCTAGCCAGAAGAAGGTTGTCAAGTGAGTAAAACCCCTTCCTCGTCGGAAGAAGCAATTTATCGGGCTTAGATTCTCTAATCGCGCCGCGAGACCGCGGTAAACGACAAGGATTCGCGCGTGTCGCGAATGCACGTCTCGTCGAACGATCCAGAGGAGGATAATGTGATTTATGCAAAGTGTCCCGCGAATTATCAGCTGGAACGCGCGAGGCGTGAACTAAAACTGCGAGCGCGCACACACGGAAACGGTCGATAAGCTGAGAAAACGCGAGGGAGGTAAGGGAAAAGAAACGCGCCGCGTTTAGAGCAGCATTGTGTCGCAAAAGTATGAATATAAAAGTTTAATAGTCGGCTATAATTCGCCAAGAGTGTGGAAAGACCGCGTCATGGAATATCGGCCGAGAGTCGCCAATATTTCTTGGAAGCACCGGAATATATTTCGCCGTAAAATACTCAGCACGTGTAGATACATTGTTGTCGGAGTGTCGTTATCAGCTTAATAACCAAGTCAAGGCATTCGTGCGTGAATTTTCACGAATTGTGACGGTAAAAAATGGAACGTTTGTTTTTCAAGCGTTATAGATCCGAGGTGTATTACCGTATGTCGCGGAAATTTGTCAAGGTGTAGTGCCTCTGATATCGCGCTAACAAGGCGCACGCGTCCTCTCTAAGACGCTCAAGAAAAGCCGGTATAACGATCTTAAGCTTTCGCAAGTGTGGCAATTCTATTTCATATATAATAGGATGCTCCACTTCCGTAACCCCTAATAACACGCGGTTTCGCACAATGGGATTTTGATCTACCGTCAATGTTTGTTTCGTGAACTCGGAATTCTGTCCAAGCAGGGAAACTCCCCGATACTTATGCATTTTGGGAAAAAGACATGATAGTGGCAACTATATATGCGACAATTGTACGCATTTGATGATTTATCTTTGGAATTAATGTATATAGTTTGAAAAATTAACTATTTCTTAATCTTTAATAATCTTTAAAATTTAATAAATAATTTTTATATATTGCTTTTTAATTGTTGTAACTAAAGCTGAAGAAAAATTATATATGAAATAAAATTTGAAATTAAGATCGAGATATACCTTAAGATATAGCTTAATAAACTATTGTAAAACTTTAATTAACTTTAAAGCTTAATAATCAATTTAATAAAATAAAATTAATAAGCTTTAAAGTTTAATAAACTATTTTTATAGTTACAAGATAATTGTATAGTTCACGTAATACCACTCAACTTTGTTTATAATAATTACAAAACTGTTTGTCAAATTGTATATTAATTTTGTGTACAAGCTGTGCAAATTTTGTATGTAGAATTTAGATGTGTATATAGTTTAATATATTATTTTGTAATTATTGCGGTTGGAACTGAATATATGGTTAGTATAATTACCTAGTTCTTGTTTACTCAGCTTTAGCTGCAATAACTACAAAATGGTTTATTAAACTACACCCGCTAATTTTACATACAAACTATACGAGTTCTGCATGTAGAATTAATGTACATAGTTTAACAAACTATCTTTTGCACTCATTTACATGCAAAGTTCGCATAGTTGCCACTACTGTGTCTTCATCTCTGAGTGCACGTGCAAACATCTTTCATCCTTTCAGAACACGGAGACAATCCCACGAATCTTAACGTGCACTACACTCACACCTGATGTATGCACACGCGCACGCATTCGCTCATTATTTCGCAAAACCTTTCATCGCTGCGATCGTCGCTGAAGTTTGCCTAATGATTCATCGACATGAGTCGTCGGGAATTACAAGTCGCGCGACTTGTACAAATAATCATTGCCTTCACGTGAAACGCCGATTCAGAATGAATCCAGAATACGAGTATAATATACATATGTGACGTCAACTGAGAATAAAAAAATAAAATCGCGCACAAGGAGGATAATCGCGCGGAGTCGGTCGCGGATCACCGCGAAGCTGCTCCGTCGCAAAGTCCAATCCGCGAGTTTCCGTTCGCGCTGCCGATCAATTTCATCCGTAATCCTTCATTATTTTGGCACTTATCCCACCCGTCGTGGCGTAAACACGGGTTGTTTGCGCGACTGAAACGCCGCTTCACATTCGCGTCGCTGTAATTGCGGAAAATTTCTCTGACGTGCACCAACACCGCGATCGCGTCACGTGCGCGTACAGGGACGGTCGGGACGATAAAAAAGAGAAAGGAAACTGAGCTTTTCCCCAGACTGGTATCCAGCGTATAATCGAAAGCGTATGAGAGCCCGTGCGGCCGCAATTTTGTTGCGTTACCAGCGTATCCCCGAGCCGAGACACCAGATGGGGCGAATGCATCACGTTGGTCCGTAAAATTTTATCGCTCGCGAATGTATCGTTGGGGAGGAGTAGTATTCCCGTGCAGTGAGGAGATATAAAGTTGTACATTTGTTCGAGATATATATATATATATATATATATATATAGGGTGCTTTAAAAAAATGGAAGTTATATATTGGAAGTAACTTTTCCTCTATATACAAGATATCCCAAAACAACCTTCGAAATTCTCGCATAGTATGGATTAAGATGAACATAAAAGTCCTATACCCTTTTGCGATATTCACAATAATTATCGAGATATCAATTAAAGAAGATTTGTGAATAATCACGCGAGATACGGTAGATGAGCTGTAGTGGCGACATCTGCCGTGTGCTTGTACATTAGATCAAACTGAATAAAAAAAGTTTTCTACCTTTTTCCTAATAATTTTGTAGATTTTTAGTTATTAAATAGAGAACATTAATTAATATATTATCGCGAGAATATTAATTAATATATTATCGCGAACAGCCACCTGCCAATCTTCTTTAATTAATAATTAAAAATCTAAAAAACTACTAGAAAAATAGTAGAGAACTTTTCTGTTCAGTTTGACCTAATATACAAACATAGGATAGCAGACGACGTCGCCACTACAGCTCATAATTATTGCGAATATCACAAAATAGTATAGGAATTTTATGTTCACCTCAATCCGTACTATGTCTCCACAAAAGTTTAGGAGGTTGTTCTGGGAAACCTTATATAAGCATTAATATTTTTTCGAAACACGAAAGAAAGAAGGATAGAGGCATACGTCCGTGAGCCATACGAAGAAGTTTATTCACATTCAAGTCAAAATGCTTACTCTTTGAATTTCTTGAAGTGAAATTTCAGTCGAAAAATAGAACGATAGCCAAGTCACTCAAACTCGAGTTATTTTTCACTCATATAGAGCAAATTATCTACTCTGAATCATTGAGTGAATATCTCACTCGAAATTGAAAAGCGAATTTAATGCATTCCTCAGGAAAATTAATTTACTCCAATCGATCGAAACGTCCGCTCATATGGAGTCAGAATCCACTCTAATTTTGAGTGAAACTTTCACTCTAATAATTTTGAATTATATAAAAGTTTGATCTAATATTTATCACAGTGAAACATTCTCATAGTTAAAGTTTTACGCGTTTTGTCTACACCGTTCGTGAAAAATTTAACACAGAATATCGCACGTATAATCTTATTATGGTAGAAGCAATACAGATAACCATTATCACTGTAAAATTTTGTAAAAAAAATAATGGTTCCATCCAAATAAAAAACCTACTGTTATAAATATTACATATTAGGAAACGCGACAGAAGAATAGTGTTCGTTACATTTTTTTTGCATAATGATCGATTGCAAGAAAATTGCTGTTTTATGCTTTACGTGGCATTGTACCGAGTGAAACGTGGCAAGGTGATATCATGAAATTGACTTCAAATTAAGGGAATGCTGAAGCTGAAAACTTTACCGACAGAACACTGACATTTTTCTGCAAAGTTTATGTCGTATTGGTTAGACAGAATTACAAATGCTTTTACGCAATGAAAGTACGAGCAAAAATTAATAGGAGTATTGCTCGATATGTGACGAAAACGAACAAAAAATTTTTAATGTAAAATCTCAAGCTATCAACGTAATATTTTCCTAATACAAAAGTTCCGCAGCTTGTACATACCGAAAGTATGGATGCTCCAAACAGAAAAATTTTGACGAATATTGCTCTACCTTCGCATCTGCATTTGGAAGCTTAAGAATATCGAAAAAATTTGCAGAAAGATTTCTACACATATATGGTTAGGTTTTCCGTTGAATATGGTAAAACAAAGCAATACATAGTCATGTAAGTTCTGTATATACAAGAAATACGAAAAGGATAGCGTGATTGTGTAGTGACGATTGTCTCTGCATTATCGACATTGTTCGAGTTCGTCATCGACTCCAGTATCCCCTTAACATTTATTATATAAAACGAAATAAATATATAAAACCGCAATTCTGATCGATAAATAGTGAATTTATGAATAGCTTCCTTGACGCGCCACGAAAATATACCCCTTGGGCGCTCTGAAAATACATATCTGGTGAATAAGCTTCTTAACAGCCGTAAGGACTCGAACGAAATTCCCCGTCACGTAGACCTACTTCACGACGAAACGTATAAAAATCCGCGAGACATGACATCGAAATTCATAGCTCATAACGCGATTATCCATCTCCTCTTCTTAAATATACACGCGATCGGCGCGTCGGATAAGCTGCAAAATGAAATTCGGCACGTGACGACGAGTTGAAGGATTTTACGGCCGAGACAGTTTCCCGTTTTTCTTTCTGTCTGTCTTTAGTTGTCGGCGACGGAAAGTTTTCGGCGAGTGACTCAATCGAGTCGATTTAGGAAATTGTATGTGGCCACAGTTACTATTACCACATAATCAATGAGTGCTCCGTGGGGGATCAAATGGCGCCGCGCCAAACTTTTAGTACGGAGACTATCTCTCTCTCTCTCTTTCTCCCTGTCGCTCTCTCTTTCTCTTTTTCTCTCGTCGTTCAGTAAGGTCCATGATATCAATTCGAATGACGCCGACATACGTTCCCGAGATAATGCGTTCGTCCCTAAGCGCACAGGCGGCGGTTTTATTAAAATGGCCGAATAAATATCTATTCGCGTGATGGATGTCGC